CCAGGACCCTGGGATCATGACCCGAGCCGAAGGCAGGCGCTTAACCACTGAGCCACCCAGGTGCCCCTAAATTATTATTTTTCAAGATTTTATTTATTTATTTATTTGACAGAGAGAGAGCAAGCAGGGGGAGGGGCAGAGGGAAAGGGAAAGCAAACTCCCTGCTGAGCAGAGACCCTGATGAGGGGCTCGATCCTAGGACCCCAGGATCACAGCCTGAGCTGAAGGCAGATGCTTAACCAACTGAGCCACCCAGGCGCCCCAATTACGATCTCACTGTTCCAGAGGCCAGAAGTCCAAAACCAAAGAGTTGGCAAGGCTGTTTTCCCTCTGAAGGCACTAGGGGAAGATCTGTTCCAGGCCTTTCCTAGCTTCTGGGAGCCTCAGGTGGTCCTTGGCTTCCGGATATATCGCTCCAGTCCCCCATCTTCACATGGCCTTCCCCCTGTGTCTTCACATCATCCTCCCTCTGTGCATGTCTGTGTCCAAATTTCCCCCTTTTTATAAGGATGCCAGTCATACTGCATTAGGGCCTACCCCAAGACCTCATTTTAACTTGGTTAGTTCTAGAAAGACCCTGTTTCCAAATAAGGTCACATTCTGAGGTACTGGGGGGTTGGACTTCAATATATCTTTTTGCGGGGACACTGTTCAACACATAACATGGAGGTTGCAAAGAGGTCAAGACTGACTTCCCTGGGAAAGGCACCCTGGAGCTCGGCAGGCCTCAACTTCCAGTCAGGGCAGCCTCAGACCTCCAGGGCTGGGGGTGTTTGTACCCACCGTTTCTCCAGACAGAGGGCTGGGTCCTACCAGGGGTCCTAGTACCCAGCATAGATGGGCCCTGAGGGGCCTCCCCGAGCATCTATCACATGTGGGCACGCAGGGATTGAGTTTGGACCAGTGAGGAGGCGTCCTACCTGGAACTGTTTCCCTGGGCTGGTTTCACTACACCAGGGATGGAGATGAGGGTCAAGGACACTCCATGGCCAACTCCCCACCCCTCTACAGCTGTTGGGAGGCCAAGGTGCGAAGGCTGAGTGGCAGGTACAGGTACTGTACTGCTGGAGGGCCGGTGGGCACGGCTTTGCCTCTCCGTGCCTCGTTACCCCCCCCTTGGGAAACAGCATGGGCATAGTTCTCTGGACTAAATGCCACCTTTGGGGCCAGGTGCCTGGCACACACTAGGATACAGCGGGCCCACAGGCTGAAATCAGCTGCATTGCTGGGGGGCACTGTGGAGGGAGGGGAAGAGAAGAGATGCATCCCCAAGGGGCTGGCATGGCCCCCGCAGCCACCCAGGGCCCCCAGCCTGGTCCTGGGGTTGTGCGGGTGGGAGGCGGGCAGGGTTGGGCACGTGCCACCCAGCTGCACTGAGGTTAAAATTGCCTTGTGATTTCTCTCTGCTCTGCCGGGTCCCGCCAGAGCTCAGAAGTAAGTCTCTTCCTGGGGGTGAGGGGTGCATGGTGGTCACGGCGCAGGGCACAGGCCCAGGGCAGCTTTCATGGAGCACTAGCCCTGGCCTCAGGTGGTAGCCAGGACTTGTATTCACCCTGCAGATTTGTGCAGTCTTCACCTAGGCCGGGGGCCAGGGTGGGGGGGTCCAAGTTCCCCGGGACATCCTGAATCAGGCCGTGTGGACATGGCTAGAAGGGGGACACTGTGGGAGGTGGCTTAGCCACCCCCCAGGCCTTGCCACCCGATGTGTGCTGGGAGGGAACGGGCTGCATGGGGCCCGACCCTAACTCCCACCCCATCCCCGCCCCTGCACGTCTCGCAAGGCGACCCCGGGTGGGGTGGGTGCATGAAAGACCCCACTCCCCCTGCAGCCTCCACCCACAACCCCACCCACCCACCTGTCCCCCAGGCTCCGGAGTGTGAAGATTGAGCAGGGGAAGCTGAATGACCAGGCCAACACTCTCGCCGACCTGGCCAAGGTGAGCAGGGTGGGGCTGGGCGGGGTGTCTGCTCAGGCCAGCAGAGGCTGCTCAGGCCCCCACGGCAGGAGAAGAACTGAGCCCACCTCCTGCCAGGGGAGGAATAGTGGTGGTGCCTATCGGACAGACAGCTGACGCAGGCAAGGGATGCGAAGCAGGCAGGGACCAGCCTCCGGGGGAGACAGGCGCTGTCTGCAAGAGTCCGGAGGTTCTGAATATAAGAGAGATGCTAGGAATCTACCCCTGCATGTTGACCACTTTTTAACTTTGGCAGCTCTTTTATTAAAAAAAAAAAAATAGTATCTAATAAAATAGCTTTCATCAGAATATCTAATTAGTGGGTGAAACTGGTGAAGTGTCCTTTTGTTTTAGGCGTATCTACATACAGGCTCTAAAATTGAAGTGAAAAACGAAATTCTTTTGCTATGGATATAAATTCAAATTATAGAATCAGCAGAAAGCTTATTTATGCAGCAATTAAACATCTCTTAGGAAATTAAAGTTGGTTGCAAGAGCTAAGACCAGTTTATGTTACAAACTAATCTCTCTGTTGGTTTTATTATCAAGCCTGACCCCATTTCCCACTTTTTATTCATCCACTAAAGATGGGACAGTTGACCCAACTTCAGTCAGGCAGGCTCTTAGAATATTCGTCCCACTATTCCGAGCTCCCTTCTGAGCAGCGGCCTACCTTTCACAAGTAGTTCACGCATGAACTCTGCTCACTGGCTCCATCCCCTAATCAGTTAATTAGTCTGAGGTTCATTTAATATTATCTTTGGAAGATGTTAAGTCCTATTCTCCTTCTTATACCCAGAGCGTTTTGAACTCATTCTTTTCATCATTATCAAGAGAATGCAGTATAATATTAACCTACATAAATTTAATTTGGAAAGAAACATTATAGAGGGAAAAAAAATATATTGTAGACCCCTGAAGAAATCACTCAGTTGGTAGTAGAAAGAACATAATCCTAAGAGATATAGAAACCCTTGCCAAGCTAATTTGATGTCCTATGAGATTATAGCTAGAAATACATATGAAATGCCTTTGAAAAACTCAGGTACTAATTATTATAATTTGGATTATCCATATCGCTCTTCCTTCCGTTAGCATAGATGATTGAAGTTTGAATTTTTCAAAGTTATTTAAACCTTGCAATCATAGTAGTAGTATGCCCCTCTCAGAGTACATTTAACAAAGCCTACTTTGAAGTCAGGCTTTAACTGGATGGGATTATATGGGTTCCTAATTTCTAAAATTTAACAAGGGTAAAATGTTTTCCAGCATTAAACTTTAATGCGCTCCTACCCAAGATTGCTGATTTAATTTGTGTATCTCTGACAAAAGTACAAGGTGTATTCTAAGTTTTGAAGAATTTAAACCGCAGGCCAGAAAAAAATCATCAGAGGCTGGATGCCTCCAGATGTTACCCTCTGGCCCTGGGGACTGTGGGTAAGAGGGGCCCCAAGGTGTGTGTTCGCCCTAGGGCCGGGGCGCGTGGGCCAGTAACGAGACATGGTGGGGGTCACCACTGAGGCTCAGGCACGGAGGCTGGAGGGGAGAGGCCAGGGGTGGAACGCAGCAAGATGCTGTGGTAGGTGCCTCGTCCTGTCCCCCTCCCGTGGAGCGAGGGGGTGGGGGCTCTTTCCCCACCTCAGCATCCATCCTCCCATCTCAGGCCTCGGGGTGCTGAGCTGCTGTCTCCCTGGGGGTCTGGTCAACATCTAGTTGAGGTTAGAGATAGAGGAACGATGTTCTACCGCCACCTGGTGGCAAGATTGGGCACCGCACCCAGGTCTGTCTGAGTGGCCAGCCTTCCCTTCCTGGGCCCCTGGGGGACAGTGGCAGAACCAGTTCCTGCTTGCTGGGTGGTGGGGGTACCCCATCGCCTACTGCAACAGTAATTGTGGCTGCTAGGCTCCCCAGTCTGTGATTGGGTCAGATCCCTGGCGTGGTCACTGCCCCCCCTCTCCCCGCTGACCCTGTCCCCTCTGTGGGGACAGTCTACTGTGGGGTGCAGGGGGGCAGTTCACAAACTGAGCCTCCTCCCCAGCCTGGAGCAGCGTCAGCCCAGAACCTGCCCCTCTCCCCCACCCCGCAGCTCTGTAGGCCGTGGTTCCCCTGGGTGAAGGCAGCACCCAAGAAGACCACCCTTTGGCCTCATGTGCCTGCTGGCCAGTTCATCCCCTCAGGGCGGCTCCGGCCACATCCACCCCAGGACCTCCCCCAACCTTCCCCAGGCCTGCTGGCCCCCAGCCTGGCATTCAAGATCTCTCTCTCCTCTTGCCTCTTCTCCTACCATTCCCTGGGGTGCGGCAAGAGACCTGTGGGCTTAGGGTGTCCTCACAGCTGTCTCCCACTTGGGTCCCTATTAGTGGGCTCCCACCAACTGGGGCTGGTCACCCATCTCTCTCTGTGTCTGTCCCTCTCTCTCACTTGGCCTCTCCTTTCTCTCCCACTCTGTCTCTGGCAGACCCAGAATGTCCTGTACGACCTCATGTCCGAGCTGCACGCCCAGCACGAGGAGCTTGAGGCCCGCCTGGCTGCCCTTGAAAGCCGCCTGGATGCACTGGGCACCTCCCTGCAGGCCCTGCCCAGCCTCATCGCCCAAGCCATACGCCCGCCCCCACCACCCCTGCCTCCCCGGCCTGGCCCCGGACCCCTGGACCAGGCAGCCCGGAGCCCCCCATGCCAGTGGCCACCCGTGGCCGCTTCAGACTGCGGGTGACAACCCTGCCCACCACCAGACCCCTCAATCTTGGCCATCGTGTGGCCGCCACCTCCACGCCATCCAGGAAGCCCTGTACAGTGGCGCCTCTTGGAGTTCAAGGAGCCGAAGCTGAGTTGGGCTGAGTGGCCCAGGGCCCTCCCCACCCAGACTGTCTGGGCAGAAGACAGGGCCGGACCGCAGGCGAGGGCAGGGGTGGGCCACCGCCCGCTTCCTCCCTGATTGGAGCCGGGCGGGGAGCCAGGAGCTTCCTTTGGTCCCCTGGCCCCCCCGACTCTCCCCAGGCCCCTGGTGGGCATGGATCAACCAGGAGAGGGGTCCTTGCCAGTTCTGAATAAAGCAGGACCCACCCAGTTGCTGCCTGTTTTGCGTAACTATGGGAGCTCATAATCACAACATGGGAGGTGACCACCTGACTCCAGGGCTCAGAACAAATGTGGGCGTCTAGCTGAGCCCGTCCCATGACTATTCTAGCCTGGTAGCCCTCCAAGCCTGAGCTCAGTTGGGTACACCTGAGGACGTCAGCATTCTCCTAACAGGCATTGACAGCCCTGGCCTGCAGGAGGCAGCAGATCGGGGAGACCTCCTTCGCTTCCCATTCTAGCAGCCGACTTTGCTGGAGCATCCAGTGTGGGCCAAGCTCCAGGGGGACCATGGTCCAGTGGGGAAGGTGACATGAGTAAGGAGGACCATTCAGTCTTCGCTGGACATACGTTGAACACTTGCCCTATACAGGGGACATAATGTAAATTACCACAATTCTTCACCAGAACCTGACTAGGGTAGGATGGGGAAACTGAGGGTCAGAGAAGTGAAGCCACCTTCCTGGGCTCCAGAACAGGGTGGGGGTTGGCGGGGAGGCAGGATTCAAACTCCAGCCCATAGGCCAAAGTGAAGAACCTGGACTTGGGGGAGGGTATAGTGTGATTCCGGGGTTAGAGTGGCCTCACGGCAGGCTGGAGGGGAAGGTTCTGGACACCAGTAGAATCAGAAAGGTCCCTCCAGGCCTTGGGCTCAGTGTGCTGGGGTGAGGCAGGGATGGCAGGCCCTTGGCAGCCGCTGGGCTCCGGGCATAGCAAAGAGATAGAAGCCTGCCTCCTGGGGAGGCTAGTCGGGACCCAGTTGAGAGCCTCAGGCCCTGGCAGCCTCTGACAAAGCCATTAGCCACCTGGTTCAGGAGATAACTTGGGCGCAAGACCCAGAAGAGTGGGGAGGTGCCAGTAGGCTCCAGACCTGCGTTGGGAGTCCTGACTGCCACCGCTGGGTGCTTCTGGGCAGAGGCTGCCCCCTATGAGAGCCTCAGTTTTCCCATCTGTAAGATCTGGTGAGGAGGACAGGGCACAGTGCCCACCTTCGGGGAGCACCTAGTCTGATGGAGGACGAGGCGCAAAAAACATAGCAGTCACAAACACAGCGACCAGAGCCTTAAAGAAAGAAACAAGACCAGGGTGTGATTAGGGGACTCTGAGAAAGTGACATTTGCGCATGGGGGTGGGGATGGGGAGATGGGAGAGCCCATGTGGGGAAGGGCGTTCCTAGCAGGGGAACCGTCCGTGCAAAAGCCAAGAGGCAAGCCTTGAGCTTGGTGTGTGTCGAGAACAGCCACGGAGACCAGAGGGGGAGGCCGGGGCGGTGCCGGGTGGGGGACACATGAAGCCACCAGATAGCCGCCTGGCTGCTCTGCTCGGGGCCAGCCACATCCGCCTCTGACTCAACAGCGCCGACCCTACAAAAACAGGGCCCGCCCCGCGCTGGGGGGAGGGGGGGGCGACAAAGTAAACAGCGCGGGCACGCGGGCGGCACGTCCCCGGCGGCCGGGGCGCGTCACGGGGGCGGGCGCCGAGGACCAGGAAGTCGGC